TGCCCCTCGTTCCAGAGATGCTGTAAACCTGCCCCAGCTCAGCTCCACGGTCGGCTGCACACCCCCAGTGGAAGCCCTCTGGGAAGACCTGGGCCCTCATGAGGTGGAGAAATACCCCCCCCACTCCTGGGCGGGGCTTCTGGGTCCCTCAGCACTGGAGAGCCTCGTTATAGAGCCTCCGAACATCAGAGCAGGAGGAGCAGTGTTGGTCCTTGAAGCACAGGAGGACCAGGTAGGGTAGGAGGAAGGCGGTACACGCCGGGCGGGCACGGGCAGGAGCCCTGGGCAGCACGCAGTGCGGGGAGGAGCTGGAATCACCGGGTTTGCAAGCTCCTCGGGGGTGCGTGGAGGCAATGGGAGAGGAGGCGAGAAATGCAGGTAGAGCCTGGACCAGGAAGAGAGCTTGGACTTCCGTCCCTTGGGAGTGGAGCTCCCAGGAAGAGCCTTCAGTCAGAATCGCAGTCTGAAGACAGGAGGAAAGGCTGGGGGACGGGTAAGCCGGAGCTTGCAAGTCTGAGGCTGAGCCGAGCCGAACGCTGTCTTCATGGATGAGGAAGGCGGCCGTTTAGGAGGAAGACAGAACTTACACGTGGCTTCAGAAGACAGAAGGAGCATCAGTGGTTCAAAGTTACAGAGAGGCAGACTTGACTCCGCGAATTCCTAACCGTGAGGTGGGCTGCTGTGGTCAGCACAGGCGTGTCACATGAGTCTGCGGGGACACTGGTCAGAAATATCATGGGGACAATCCTGCCTTGGGCGAAAAGCTAAACTAGATGGTTCCCAAGTTTTTTTCCAAACCAAGATTCTAAAATCTTGCAACGCCATGATTTTTAGGGCTGTGTGGGACCTTCTGAGCCCTTCCTGCCTGACTAGGCTCCCGGCCCTACTAATTGCAGACCTGCTCTGGCCACACATGGCCCCAAAATGAATGTGTGTGTGTGTGCGCGTGTGTTTGAGAGAGAGGGAGAGAGACAGACAGACAGAGACTGATTCACCGCAGAGATAAAGGCAAAGGAAGTGGACTCGCTCCCTCTTTTTCAGATCTGACCGCAGAGCTTTTCTCCCCTGTGGACCTTGACCAGGTCATCGTCAGCGGAAACCGATCCCTGCCCAGCAAGCAGCACCGGCTTTTCCGACATCTGTTTTCACGTCAACAGGCACATCTGTGGTGCCTTTCTCGTGAGTAGCCTTAGGCCTCAGCCTTCTTCTTCCCTGCCTTGTGGTCAGGCATCAGAGGCCTTAACAACTCTTGAGACATAGATAAAATCAAATTCAAGAGCATAACTTAGGCATCACTTTAGTGTTGGTATCGTGAGTGATCCTGAAGAAAGACAGGACATGACCCAGATCTTCAAGATGCCAATGCTGTAGTTAATGTCTACTCTGCTCCCAGAGCCTATTATCCATCCACCACCTATCCATCTTTCCATCCGTCCGTCCGTCCATTCATCCATCCATCTTTTACCCAGCAGACATGTGCTGTGTTGAGCAAGTGCTGTGGTCTAGGCCTTGTGTTTGACCTTGGGGATGAGAAAATTTAAAAATGAATCAGCCTTACCCCTCCGCCTCAGGGAGCTCGCATGTACCAGCAGCAAAGTCTGACCCAGTGAAAGCAGGGGAGCTGTTCACAGCGTCACCAAGCTCTCCGGCCCTGTGGCCTGTGGTCTGAGATCCTGACTGCCTCCAAGATGGTGCTGGGCAGATCCAGTGGAGTTTTACCCTCTCTCCTCCCATATTGCCGAGTTGACAGCTGACTCCTCACCCTCTCGGGCTCTGCCTTTATTCAGAGCCACACAGACTCCCTGTTCTGCGCACGGCCCTCTCCCCACTAGCAGAACCCTGGTCTGTCTTTTTGGGCCTTCCAGATTGGACAGCCTTGACTGACCTGAGGCTCTGCCCCGCCTGGGAGGAACCCCTCTGGAGCATTTCTTCCCAGAAGATACTGTAGAGGTACCCTCCCCCGTGGGCCTCCCAAGGACTGAAACACAACTGCTCTCTCACCTGTAGGCTGTATCCAGAAGCCCTCTTTCTGTCAGCTGGCAGAGGTAATGGACAGTGCACCCTTGTACTTCACCTGCACCCTCTACCCAGAGGCCCAGGTGTGTGATGATGTCCTGGAGTCCAGTCCCCAGGGCTGCAGGCTGATCCTGCCCCACAGGCCCAGTGTCCTCTTCCGGAAGAAAGGTGAGTGCTTGGTGGGTCTTCAGTGGGCTGCGGGCTCTGTAGCTTTAGAAATATCCAGATCGATTCACTTAAAAATAAATTTACCATGCTTCTTGTGGAGATGCAAAGGCACTCAGAAATGCATCATATTGACTATAAACAATAATCTTACACTGGAATCCCACTGCTCATAGAACCCATGTCAAATGCACGTTTCAGTGGAGCTCCAGTTGGCCGTATGTATGCTCTCAAAAATCTCACCAACTGTGGCTCCAACAAGATAGAGGTTGATTCTATTCTCTGAGGATATTGACGATACTACTGGGGGAGAGGGGGTGCTTCACCCCGCAGTCTCCATTTCTACCCTGATGTTGCATTGCGCTGTTACTTACTGTTCCTTCTTGTTTGCTGGAGGCCTTTCTCAGGTAGCTGGTGACCCTTGATTTTCCACTTAAATGTAAGAGAGGGGCCCAGAAGCTGGTCGGGAAGTGGAGCGTGTGGTGGGAGCTTGTTGACTTTGGGTTTCCCTGTAGGATAATCTATTTGGGCCACCCTTTGGGGAATCCCTCTTGTCACTATAGCTGGAATCTCGTCACATCTGGCCCAGAGTCATGAGCCTGGTTGCTTGTGGTTTAGATGCCAAGTAAGGTTGAAAAGGAAAGAGTCTCCACAGTTACCATGTAGACGGACTTGAAAAAATTCCCGTGGCTTCAGTGCGGTGCTCCCGCCATTACTGCCCCACCTGGGGCACCTGGAGACCCCGCCCTTCTATGACGGGAAGGGGCCGTTGCTGGCCGTGGAAAAAAGAGAAGGGGATCTGAAGACTTAATTGCTTCTTAAAAAGACTTCCAGCCCTTTCTGCCTTAGCTCACTTTCCCAGTGCTGTTGATGCTTAAATCTGTTGGGATTCCAGAAGACGTGTGGGGTTGCTTCTTGGATCTTCCCACAGAAGGGTCGAGCATTCAGCTTCCTTAGGTTGATCAGGTCAATGTTTACCCCTCTGTGTTTCTCCTGGCTCCCCCAATTTTGTTGCTCTATCCTCTCTCCGACTCTTTCACCTTGCGGGTGTATGCCTTTAGAAAAATCCCTTTACCAGTATTTTAGTGATATTTGGGATGGAAACAGAGTGTAAGTACCTGAGTTTAATATGCCATCTTTAATTGGAAGTTTTCAGTGTGATTCACGTACCTTTGTCCCCCTGATTTTGTGGATACAATGCATCACTCCCTAAATAATGTCATTTCTTTCTTCCTCTGTGTAGTTGTACTGCAAGAGAAAGTGAAGAATTTTTACACTCGCCTGCCATTCCAAAGGCTGACGGGGATCTCCATTAGAAACAAAGTGCCCATGTCCAGCAAATCCATCTCCGATGGGTAAGCTCTTCCGTTGGCCCCTGCCTCACTGCCAATACTTTTATAAAGATCCTTCTATTTTCATAAAGAAAGTAGCAAAGTATCGATTAAAGGCACAAGCATGCAAAACTGTAAAACCCAAAGCAAAGGGTGAAAAAGTAATAAAGAGGTAACTCTATCTAGAAACCATGGTTGAGATCAGTGACTGATAGTCAACATAGCATTTAGCTGTGAACCTCTGGTCAGCTGGTGCCAAAGGGAAACATTGACCCCTATTTCATCAATTAATACACATTATCCAGCATGGTAATGAACTTGACCAGCAAAGGCTCCCTGTGCTGCATTCAGAATCTGGAGAGCAAATAGGACTTTGAACAGGGCCATCAGCATATAAGGATTTTTGATTTAATTTATTATTTTAAAAATGTATTTTGTTATTTATTTAGTAAGCTGTAATTTAGTTTTCACTGAAGGTGATGTTTCTCCCCACCCAGTCTGTGGATCTCATCCATCCGAATCACCAGGAGGACTTTTTACAAACCCCACTCCAGGGTCCTACCCTGGACCTACTGAATCTGCATTTCAGGGGGCTCAGGAATCTGAATTTGAACCAAGTTCCCCTGGTTATTCCTGTGTACGTTGGTGTCTGAGAGTCTTTGACCTATGAACTGTTGATCTATGAAATATTGCTGGTTTATGAAACTATGTCACGTTGCTGGCATTCAGATCTGCTTTTGAAAATGGACATAAACAGACGATATGGGAAAGTCGGTCTTGAGATCTGGCTGATGGGAAGCGGGAAGAGAAGGAGGGTTGGAAACAGGGACCAGCCTGACCCCCGTGCTGGGACAGGGGCTGCGGGAACATAACTTGCGTATCTGGACTCAGGGGAGGGTGGTTCAGAGGTGAAACATGTCATCCAGGGTAGAGCCTGGCAATGGGCCCCAAGAGAGGAAAGTGAAGTGGTGGGTGAGCAGGTGAACTGGGCTCTGGGAGAGGGAAATGGGGAGGTGGTCCACAGACTTACGGGCGGAGATGCGGCCAGCATGGGCAAAGCTGCCCAGGAGACGGAGGCTTTATCCCCCAGATGGGACTGGGATTCAGGGGCGCCTAAGTCAGGGAAGGAGAAGAGCCGCAGAGCATGGCAGGGCCCCCGCACTGAAGGGGGATGAAGGGGCTGAGCGAGCTCTTGCAAGTCAGGGGGGTCGATCCAAACTGGGACTCGTGGTCAGGGCAGGGGCAACTCAGAGCTGACCCCAGGAGCATGGATTGGGAGCCACCAAGCTCCTCCTGCCAGGACTGGCCCTATAACGGTGGGGTCCAGTAACCACACTGAGTTATTAAACAAAGTAGGTCCAGAGAGAGCAAGGTTGGGTGCCCTGCCCCAGCCAACAGAGGTGCGCTCCTGAACTGTGAGGAGCCTGTGCTATAAGTGGGTAGGGGGAGGTCAGTGGGGATCAAGCACAACTCTTCACCGCTCAACAGGCACCTGGGTGGGTGGTTCCCACTGTAACTCCCTGGAGTCCCCCACTCCTCTCCTTTCCTGGAGCCCAAAGTAGGGGCTTTCTCTCTATGCGAGAGGATTGTGGGAACACATTCAGGAGCCTGGGGTGGCTTGGCTTGGAGCCTGGCACGTAAGAGGCGTAGGATATATGCTTGATGAATGACCGAGTGAATGATGATGGCAGGATGGCAAGACGACATTCCTGAGAAAAGAGTAGAATTTTGTTTTCAGAGAGAACCTCAAAGCTGGGAATCCACCCCCACAGCCGTCGTACAGGGGAGGGAGGCTCCCAGGAGTAAGAATGACGACCTTACAGCCCCCAGCAGGCCTGGTCCAACGCAAACCTCCAGGCCTGCTCTTTCTCCTCTTCCACCAGCTTCTTCGAGTGTGAACGCCTGTGTGACGAGGACCCGTGCTGCACCGGCTTTGGCTTTCTGAACGTCTCCCAGTCAAAAGGTGACAATGATGACCACTCCCTCTGGCCCGCATAAACCACTTCACAGTGTAGGAAACACATCCACATCTATGGCCTTATCTAACCCTTGGCACGTCCTCGTCCTCGTGGTGGGGGCAGGGGTAATCCTCATTCGCAGATGGGGAGTGGGGGCTGGGGGAGGGGAGCTGGCTGATAGACGTGGCCGCTGGGACACGGCTCGTGGTCCAGCACTCGGTCAGCTTTACACAGCGCTTCCACTGACCGAAGTAGCCTTCCTCCCACTGCCTGCTTAGCTGTCTTTGCTCGCCTTTCAAGACCTGGGCCAGGTAGCTTGGTGGGGAGAACTTTGGACCCGTCCATAGATCTGTATTTGAAACTTGATTCTGTTCTTTACTAGATGTGTGGTCCTGGATATGTTCCTTAATCTCTCTGAGCCTCAGTTTCCTTATCTGCAAATAGGGATACAAATGCTACCCTCCTCCAGGGTTGTGTGAGGACCAAGTGGTGTGATGCAAACACAGCCCTGGCACAGCCCTGGGGGCATGATGGCCGCTTGAGTAGATCGGGCCGCCTCCACCCCTGTGCTCTTAGACCAGAGGCTCGTTAAGGTAGCGGGTTTTTCCTCAGTGGCTAAGCCCATCCCTGGAATATGATGGTGCGGCCCCGATGTCTATTGAAGAAGGAGTTGGCAGAACTTCTCTCATTCAGTTAGAGTCTTCCAGCATGATCATTTTCCTGGCCCTGATTATCTTTTGCTCCAGGGGGAGAGGTGACATGCCTAACTCTAAACAGCTTGGGACTTCAGACGTGCAGCGAGGAAAACGGAGGAACCTGGCGCATTTTGGACTGTGGCTCTCCGGACACTGAAGTCCGCACCTATCCGTTTGGATGGTACCAGAAGCCTGGTAAGTGACCTAGTCTCAACAGCTACCTGGGCATCTTTAGTTGACTGTTTCTCAATCGTGTATCAGGATGATGTCCTGGGGCCAGGAAGTAGATTTAGTCGGGATTCACTGAATGTAAGCAATAGGGATAGATTCTAATTAACTTAAGCAGAAAAGGAATTTATTGGAAGTCTGCCTGTAGACGCAAAGGAAAGGTGACTGACTAGGCCTCAGCTGCATGCGTGTGTTTAGCAGGAATGAGCGGGCAGCCTCTTCAGCGTGGCCCATCCTCATCAGTTGGCACCAAGGGATACAGATGATTGTGTTCAAGCTTTACATTTAAGGGAGAGAATCTGGCCTGGCTTGGGCTGCAAGTCCAACCACTGCCAGAGGGTGGGGGTTTGGGTGAAGAGACAGCTTGAGGGACAGTCCCTGTAAGACTGCACACTCAGGGGAGAGGAGAAGCCTCAGAGTATTGTAAAGGTGCTGTCCCTGGAGAGGGGAAATCAATAGCTGTGCACTCCGCCAGATTCCCGTGGTTTTCTTGTCTTGTCAATTAACCAGGACAGTGGAGCACCTGGCGTCTTAAGGAGGGAAAGGGTCCCCAGTGTGTATCTGATGATGTATGTGGAGTTAGGACTTCAGGGCAAGGCAGTGTTGGCCCCAAGTGTGTACTTCCCACATGTGTTCTGATTTTAGCCCAGTGCATTTTAGGAGCTCAATTTGAAATTGGTGAATGAATGAATGATCTACATGGTGTGATGGAGAAGCTTCTAGACTCAAATGAAGGGATATTATTATCTTTCCAACTCTGCCATCTACCGTAGGTTTGCCTTTAGGAAAGTCATACCACTCCCTCAGCTCCTCCACCAGGGAAACACTGAGGAGAGTCACTGGGGCCCTATCAAGTGCTTACATTCTGGGTGTTTGTGGGTGTGGGTACACTTGGGGGACAGTAGGTGACTGCATGGAGCCTGGAGATCCTCCCCACCATGTGTCCTGGAAGCAAATTCAGAAAGATGTTCAAGATGCAAAGAGATAGACACCCCCTCTTAGCAGGAGTCCAGTGAAGAGGCTGAGCTGAGGTCAGTGCCTCCAGCCTCCCCCGTTCGTGGCCTTCTCCTCACTTTCAGAGTCAGTATAGGGTGGGTGCTGGCTCTGGCCTGGCCCTTGCCTTGGAAATGAGTTACGGGATGTCTGATCTGGAGGAACCTTAGAGGTCTGTAACTTTGATTTTATGCTCTGCACATCACCCACCACAACACTTTGCCCAAAGTAGGAAAGGAGAGGAGAGCTGACATTACTCACGTGCCCACCATGTGTCTGCACATGTGCTCGGTCTCTCCATGGGCTGGGGCTTCTACGTGGGCTATATAACATTCTACTCGACGCTCCTATGAAGTGGACATTGTTTCCTCCATCTTAAGGTGAAGAGAGGGTGGTGTAGAAAGCTGAAGTTGTTTGACCCAAACAACATAGCCAGCAAGAAGCAGAGTCAGGTCACAAACCCAGCTCTGATGACCCCAAAATTCACTCTTCCCCTTCACCACATTGCCTCCTGGCTGGTCTCCCATATCCCATGAGTGACTGGAAGTGAAAATGTATAGACACCTTGTCTGACTGGTTTTCCCTCAACTCAACTCAGCTGACTAAACAGGCAGTTGACTAACACTTGAAAAAATTAAACTGACAAATAAGCTAGTCAATTAGACCAGCTGGTAAGCTGGCCTCTGCTTGTAGAGCCATGTCCAGCCGGAGAGGCCTGGGCTGGGGCTCCTCGGTGGAACGGGTCCTTGGCCCTTGTCTTTGAGTCTGTTAATTCCCTAGACATTCCGTGGCTTCAGGGCAGATTTTTTTGGAGTTAATTGTTACCAGGCTGCATGGAACCCTCCCTGCTGCTGTGCACCGTGAGCATCTTGTGACTTGATCCGAGTCCACTCTATTTATTACTTTTATTTTACTTTAACATCTTGAGTTATTTTAAGAAAAGCATTAGGCTTGTATGATGAAATAGCCTCAGTGGGTTTCTATTTGGGGGGGACTGTCCCACAGAGAGGAGGCTGTAACTGACTCACAGGGGTGGGGGGAGTGAGCGCCTGCCCAGGACGGGGCCCCGGCAGGAGACCCAATGCCAGCTTTAGGGTCTTCAACTGAACTCTCACCCATCCCTCAATGCTTACTTGCCCCTTCTGTCCCCTCTCCCCTCTTCCCACCTCCTCACCCCACCAAAGGCAGGAAGATGTCATTTTCCACCTTCCTAGTGCTCAGGGGAGAGCTGACTAAAAAGAAGCTAAAAACTAATTCATTTGTTCAGAAACATGGGAACCAGACCACAGGGTTACAGCATCCTGGCAGGAGTCGGCGAGGACAAGAGCCCACGTGCTTGCTGTCCCACCTCTGCATCTCTTCTGTGACTTTCTATCTGAATGCACAGACCACTAGCCTTTTCTGACATATATTCTGTGGTGTCAGGCTGAGGACTCAGGAGTTCTGACCAGGAACTCCAGGGCAGGGAACTAAAAGCTCACAGAGGTGCTTCATTCGGCGGACACCGGCCGGGCATCAGTCATGCCGGGGGCCTCAGGGTTACGAGCCCCACCGCCGTTCACCGGGCTCTCACTGCGTGCCTGGCTGGATGCCAAGCACTTCACAAGCATTATCTCGCCTCATCCTCACGGCCCCTGTGAAACGAGGAAACAGAGGTTCAGGGGCGTTAAGTCACTTGCCCACACACGGCAGGTAAATGACAGAATTTGGACTC